TGATAAAGATAGCTGTCAAACACAAACTAACTGACGCAGCAAGTTCAAATTTTGACAGGAGTCAACTGACAGATGCCTGTTGACAGGAGTAGTGTTGCTTTTTCAGTAAAGAGGTCAGAAATTCAAAAAGTCACAGACTTATTGACCCGCCCTCGTATTTAAACAAATAATATGGATGTTTTCTCTACAGGACAGCCAACACACTGGCCTTCAGATAAAAATAAAATACCAGATCTCACCGACTTCTGTGTCACCAAAGGAGTTACAAAGAATAATATATCGTGCAATAGCTGCTGGGATTTATCATCAGATCGTCAGACCTTTCAATGGGACCAATTTTGGCGTCCAAATAACATATCTCCAAAATATCTGATTTGCCCCAATATGTTTTTTTCGATTTCCTCTCCCCACATCTTTGAAAACCTGTAGAAGCTTTTCCCACACATTTATAACTATTATTTAGATACGAGTAGATAGGTACATTATATAACTTTTATTTCTTCTATTACAAATATAAAGGGCTCCCCATGAGGCTCGAATAAATCCACATTTAGCATCATCATGGGCTCCCCTACTATAATCAACATTAAACTGATTTAAATATCAAGTTCAAATAAAATTTAAAAGTTTTCAGTATCATGCTTTAAGTGGGTGATAAACGTACTTGAGATGAATAAAAAAGTCACCTTTGTTCACCTGGGTGAATAAATTCCAAGGTGAACAAAGGCCTCTGCTTATGTGTGGAATAATCAATATCAGAATTTTATGGCAAATGGGCAAGTTAAAATTTCTAGGAAGCAACTTTACCTAGAGAACTTCCTTTAGAAAATGATTACAAATACTTGTATTCCGCCTGCTAATCGTATTCTTGAATCGATGAAGATGATGAGAAGACAAAGAAGTATTTAAAATTAATCGCTCCTCCGGGTTTTCAATCAAGTGTTAGATATGAACATTTTTAATTTACATTACATGTCGACAACATTTTTGCCACTCATCTGATCAAATTTAAGAAAGCTACTTCTTTTAATATTTTAATCACCCACACTGTTTCTTATGCATATCAATGACATGTTGCAAACTAGTAGCATCCATTGCTATGCAGATGATAGCACAGGAGATGCCCTCTATACCGACCGCCCCAACATTTCTCGGGAAAACGTCATCGAGAGTCGAAACATATTGTGTCTGAAATTGAAACTTCCTTAGCGGAGGTTTCAGATTGGGGCCGACTAAATCTAGTCCAGTTTAACCCAAAAAAGACACAGGTACGTGTGTTCACCGCTAAAAAGATACCATTTGTCGTATCACCTCAGTTTGAGAGCACTTCCCTAACTGCCTCAGCCAGCATCGGAATCCTAGGCATCGACAAATCGAGCGAAGTCCAGTTTCGGGGTCACTTAGAGGGTAAGGTCAAATTGGCCTCGAAGAAGCTCGGTGTACTGAACAGATCGAGGCAGTATTTCACTCCGGCCCACCGCCTTCAGCTCTATAAGGCACAAGTCCGGCCGCATATGGAATACTGTTCTCATCTCTATGCAGGGGCACCTCAGTACCAGCTTCTCCCTCTGGACCGCATCCAACGAAGAGCGACTCGAATCGTCAATAGCCCAAACATCTCCGATCGGCTCGATCCCTTGACGTTACGTAGAGATGTGGCTTCACTCTGCATTCTCTATCGCACATATCATGGAGAGTGCTCTGAGGAATTGTTGGGACTAATACCAGCCGCAAATTTACGCTATCGTTCCACACGGAAAAATTTTCATCCTCATTACCTGGATAGTTGGCGCTCCACTACTGTGCGCTTTTCGAGACACTTTTTTGCCCCGCACAACCAATCTGTGGGACGGGTTATCGTCTGCGGTATTTCCGGACCGATACGACCTTCAAACCTTCAAGAAAAGATCGTACTCCTTCCTAAAAGGCCGGCAACGCGTTTGTGACTGCTGAGTTGCAGACGTTCGTGGGCGGCGAGTCATTTTCCATCAGGTGACCCTGTAACAGTTATTTTTTTTAGTATATTTGTATTGCGTACGGAGTTGTAAACAGCGACACCTATTGCCCGCGTCGTATTTTTCTTGATTTATCCAAAAGTAGTTTGTAGCTATAGTATTGATGTTCTTCGTCCGCCATCGGACCACTAGATGGCGTTGTTTTATAGTTAAGTCATTTTATTAATTTATCATGACAAATTGTATTGGCGTTAAAAGTGTCTTGTTTTGGTAGGAAGCGAGTTACTTTTGATTTAGTTCGTGTTAACCTAGATAACAATTTGAGTGACAGTTTGAGATGTTAAAGTAGGGATTCTTTCTGGAAAGTTCACAAACCGAACATATATAAGTCCGGCTTTCAGCCACGGGGGACACTCTGCTAATTCTTATCTTCCGACCTTAAATAGTATTTTGTTTGTCTGGTAATTTCAATGTAGTAATTTTTTAGTAATGTTTTATTGTTCGAAGTACCCACGCAAGTGGTGAGTATATTCATAATTTTCTTGTACTTATTTGTTTCTGGAACCTGATCGATTATATGAGTGCTAATCCATTCGTAGGGTCCCAGATTTCGGGTCAAGACGGTCAGTCTCAGACGGCGTGCTTTTTCATTTGTGGCCTTCTGGTGCGAAATCAAGTTTCTTGGTACCCTCTGGCAAACTGGCAGTCACGCGGCTCACCAAACAAGCGGACAGCCGTACTCAAAGGTTACGTACTTCTCGTTAACTTTATTTACATCATTAGTGAACCTTCCTTTATACCTAACATAAATAGCCGACTCGGGCGGAAGGGGAAGTGACCTCCTGGATTGAAGACGAGGAGGCTCCGAGCAGCATCAGCTCGGCCATACCCACTATTTTTTATTGTAACTGATTTTTTTTTGAAATATACATGTATGTATGACTGAGGTGTAAGTTGTCTTTCTCTAAGGAGTCCCGTAGGTATCCCACACGCACACACTTCTGTTTTCTAAAAGGCGCCCTGAGGTAATCTCTTGAATCTCTCCACTGGGTAAGCCGGTGAGTAGTCCGCCTGATAAGAAAAGCGGCTACAACCCGTCTGCTCGTCTGCTCCCGCTGCATGGACCAAGCGGTCCAAGTGTTGAGCCGAGTTCTCGCAGTGGCGGCAGGCGCATCTCAATTCACTCCTAGCGATCGACTGCTGGTACTTCCCTAAGCAGACGTGCCCAGAAAGGATCAGCGTCAGTCAGAAGGAAGGCGTCCCGTGCTGCCACCCTGCCCACTGCCCTACGCTTCCATGGCGCCAAACCCACTGGAAATATATACGTGCGTAGAGTATCATAACCATAGAGATATAGGCATAGAGTGAACAAGAGCCTTAATCTTGTATATAGACGAGAGAGATGGATAAAAGATAGCTCCTCTATCTCTTTCTAGTCGAGCTCTGTGGTTGGCTGTTGAACTTTCTAATCTCTCACCTGTTCTACGATCAAAACCATACCCACTTCATGATGGAATCAGAGGGAACTATTGGCATCCATCTCTCTGTTTGCCTGTATCGCGTCCACTTACAGGTAGCTGTACCACATGTTCTCTCTATGCCAATATCTCTATGATTATAACTATAATTTATTAAATATAATAAAAAAATGTCAATAATGCAATTTTGCCAATTTTTATCAAAATTGCATTTTTGACAGATGACAAATTAACATTGCCATATGAAAATCTTTTTATACTTCTTTCTTATCTATTGTGCCATGATGACATGGCACAATAGAAAAGAAAGTGCTGGTATACCTATAATAGTTTATCTTTTTAGTTTTACTTTATTTTATGGCTTAGTAACTTAGTCAAGATCATATATCGTCATCAACAAGTCAATATCATATTCATTTATTCACAAAGTTTAGCGACATTCACCAAATAAATATTTACTAGAAATAAAGATAACCAATGGAATACAAAAAGTAAGCTAGTCTTTTCGATGTCAGGGTGTGCGGTTCTACAATAAAATGAAGAGAAAATTTCATGAACTAAGTATTAACAAATTTAAGTCTAGTAAAACAGAAACCATGTGAAAAGGCTAACTACAGGGTTACAGATTATTTAGATGACAAATTTGTTTGAGATTGATGCTGCTCACTCCCGCATTTACGTTCCTATCTTTGTTGTTATGCTTGAAAGTGATAGACATCTAATGTATTGTTGTATGTCGTTCGTATCCAATTTGTTTATTTTTTCATTGAACTTGAATTGTATAGTATATTTTTTGTGTAAGTATGTATGTTCTTTGTATATGTGTGGCGTGCAATGGGAGAGGCCTATGTCCAGCCGTGGACTGCGATAGGCTGATGATGATGATGATGTAAATGTGAGTATAGTGTAGGCTTGTAATGTTAGTTCATATTTAGTAACATTCTGGTGGTTTTGAGTGTTTCAACGGGGGCCTACTCAAATGTCCTGCTGGCCGTAGTGTCACGCTTCGGGTCGTTGATCTTGACTAGTATCGGTTAGGCTACACGATGACTGAGGCCCGTATGCCGTCTGTATGGACAGGTGGACTAAAAACTATGGTCCTTTCTTCAAAAGGCCTACCCAGACCCTACACTCTGCTCGCAGTTTTCTTTAACTTTGTTTACGAAAAAAAAAGGCAGGACACCTCTGTGGTTTGTTTTGATATTTCTTCCCAGAGTGAGTCTTAGGCAATGCCGGCTCCATCTAACTGTAAAGTCCAGCTTGTAAAAATATCTGAAAATAATTATTTACAGAAATAAATATCATTTATCATTTATTACGAGTAGAACACTGATGGTGGGCAAAATTTGGATTGCCGTACAAAAAAAGGGCAGATTTGTCATGTTGTTGATAAAATGTCAATGTGAATCTGTCAATCTGTCAGAGTGTTCAGCAGACAGTAATATATGTTTTGTTCATTGGAAATACGCAGTCTCAATTTAAAATGAGTAAAGTCTGATGTTATTCGGATGCCAAGTGATATAATTTATGAATATTTGTACGTGGTTTTTCTATAATAGAGAACAAAATGGTAAGTATCTTTAGTGTTTTGTTTTTAATGGTCAATAAAAAGAAAGGACACAAAATCATGCCTTTATCAACGTTATGATTCAGAGTTATCAAGATGATCCTAGTTGCTACGTGGGTTCTTTCCCTAAGGACTTTAGCTATGGACCTTTTGAACAGAATGGTGAAGGTGATAACACGTCATTGCCCGAAGATCACAAACCTCGAATCTTACTAATGGGACTCCGAAGGTTAGTGTTACCTACCAGTTTTCCGTAGTAAAATGTAATAAACGAACGACTTTTATTGTTTGATTATAAATTTACATATGTTAACACAGATTTTACAATTGATTTATTGACCCTGTCTTCTGATGAAAGCAAATGTTAAAAAACATTGTTTTTTTTTATATATTCTTCTAATAAGAATCTTATAGTAAGTAGAGGTATCTGTTTTCATGACTACCCTAAATTTATATATTTCAGGTCTGGTAAATCATCCATACAGAAAGTAGTCTTTCACAAAATGTCTCCCAATGAAACACTGTTTTTGGAATCAACAAACAAAATTGTGAAAGATGACATTAATAACAGCAGTTTTGTACAGTTTCAAATCTGGGACTTTCCAGGGCAGATTGATTTCTTTGATGCCACATTTGATTCTGACACAATATTTGGTGGTTGTGGAGCCCTTGTCTTTGTAATTGATGCTCAGGTATTATTATAAATATTTTGACAACAAACTAACAATTGAAAGGCAGTTCCTACTAAGCAATAAAATTACATTCAATAAATCTATAAATATACCAAATTAAGTAGAAAAATTTGACTGTTTGAATGGTAAATAGAACTCATTTTAAGTCCTTTGTCAGTTATTGAGGATTATTGTTCAAGCAATATATACAATTAAATATGTTACTACCTATTAATAAATATATTTTATGCAAAATTTTGTAAATTAATTTATTGAATATATAATAATGTTTTGAATTTTCAGGATGACTATCAAGATGCCTTGGACAAACTACAGCTTACGGTCACCAAAGCATATAGAGTTAACAGTAATATTAAGTTTGAAGTTTTTATACACAAAGTGAGTAACTGTATTGATATTGATTTAGTGATATAAATTACATGTACAAATTATAAATCACTTATCTGTGTGGCAAATGTATGACTCAGTACAAACATCTGGTGATTTTGTAAAATTAGGACAATCTCTCATTTAAAGTATTGCGCAGGATGGGTGGCACAAAATACCTTTATATTTAAAAAAACTGTCTGGTTTTTCAATGAGATAATTCAGGTAAAGTATTAGTGTAAAAAAAAATACTTTTGAAAAATGGGTATGTGGCAAGATGTGGTGACTCATAGGAATTCCATTCGGCTCTCCTAGTAAGTGGCAGAGTGAGCATATGAGCATGGATCTCGCTCCAGGGGATCTCCAAAATTCGTTTTTAACCTAAAGAAAATCAAGCGGTGAGAGTGAGTTCCCCCATTCCGCTGCCATAATCACTTTGCTATAATAATAATAATATTTATTTGCAGAAAATGTGGTAGGTAGTTTACAATGTTAAAAGTACAAAACACATTTTGCTATATTTAAAAAGCATGCAAATTTTTAAAATGAAACATCATAATAAAAATAATTAAAAACATTAAATTGATGATGATTTCTAAAGTGATGTGACTGAGTAGAGCACATTTTAAAAAAATCATTGACGGAATAAAGACACTGCTGCTAGCCAATTTTTTAACGTATAGCACACAATTTGTGATAAAGAAGAGTTGCAATATTCGCCGGCAACGCGTTATAAATAAGTGGTGTCATATAAACACAGCTCAACCTAAAAATTTCTAGACAAGGTGCTCATAATTTAAAATACGAGTGTTTTTTTTTACGTTTGTTGGTATTGTCCTTGAGTTCAGAGCTCTTTATTGCTCTTCACAAATTTAGCTACTTCATAGACGAAAATGTTAGGGACCGTCAACAGATGAGATACAAAAACAGCCGAAAAATCGCTTGATTTTCTTTGCCTGTTCACGACTTCGCACCTAGGATATTTATAATTATTCAGAGGTTGTGGGACAACCCTTAACGAAACAAAAAATCTGATGCTTTCTTACCGATCGCATACAGTTTATCCGAAGCACCTATTTTTTTACATTTTCGAAAATTGTGCGGAAACAATATTATTTTGTGACGAATTTTTTTTCAAAAGAACAGTACTAAAAGCTGTAATTGAAGCCCTAAACAGATTTCCTACAAGTCACACAAGCTGAATAAATGAAGGGCGAAAAAATCGAGATAAAAGCGTGTTTTCCCTTAAAGTTTCTAAGTAACGAATTTGACTACAGTAACATTTTATTAGTTTTACTCACACTACTGCCTATTATTTTCGTTGTTTTCTTTTCAATAACTTGCTACGAATTGACTGTTTTTCAGAAACTAATATTTTTACTTAAATTATCCCTTTGAAAAACCAGCCACTTTATTTTTTTCGATCTGAACATTCCTCTGCCTGTAATAGTACAAGTTCATAATGACTTGATTATTTGTATTATTGATTTGTTTTAATATTTATAACTTGAACAATTTATATAGAATAATGCGACCATATAAAAAAGATATATTATTTCATTTAAAATGTCAAGGTACGAGACTTGCCATCAAGTAGCTAAAAATCCGAACTCGGTTTTCAAGATGATAGCTACAAGAAACATGATAGCTATAAATTCTTGTGTGAACTACTGCTATTTATTATAGCTGGAGTGACTAACAAGTAACTTAGGTCTCACAATCACACTAATATTATAAAGGCGAAAGTTTGAGAGTGTGTGTGTCTGTATGTATGTAACTTCTTCACGCTCAAACGGCTGGACCTGTGATAAAATTGATACCGAAGTATCTGACACACATGACAATCATATTCTTAGTCTTCCATGGAGTCACCATACGGGTCCATTGCGCGTAACAGGCTATTTTTTAATCCCGAAAAATGTAGTGTTCCCATAGGATGAGCAAGGAATTTAAATATCATATTTGCTACTTTACACAGGTAACACTGCGGGACGCAACTAGTACTTTAAATAAAAACAAGTAAAAAAGTATTTGCAAAAAAAAACACTTCAAATATATATGATACAATTTGTATTCTAATCTATTGTGTTAAAATTTAACAAGCAAGAAAATTTAATTTTCAAGGTAGATGGCCTAAATGATGATTACAAAATGGAATCCCAAAGAGACATCCATCATCGAGCTACAGATGACTTGGCAGAGGCAGGCCTAGAGCATGTACACCTGTCATTTCACCTCACCTCAATTTATGATCACTCTATATTTGAAGCATTCAGTAAAGTAGTGCAAAAACTGATTCCACAATTACCCACATTAGAAAATCTCTTGAACATTCTTATATCGGTAAGTAAAATTTATCTAATATTTAGGAACCTAAATTATATGTCCCTTCTGGACCCCTGACCCATATGTAGCCGTTTTTACACAGTTTTTGAAGTTTTATTTAGCACAATACAACAAATACACACATACATTTCAGTGTGCCATGTTTTTGTATAGGTCTTATTTAAACAATTACTAAGGTACATTAATTGTACATTGTCCATTATAATCCATTTTTTTTTGCAAAGGCATCATTAAAACATCTCCAATACAAGCTAGCTTTCACCTGATGACTAATGATGAATCCTCTGTTACTGTATATTTGTTTTGAAAAGGGTGTGCGACAAGTAGAATTATCACAAGGGGTAATTACTTACCATTAGTCAGAATACACAAGCCATTTAATGTGAAATATGGAAAGGAAAGAATTATGTATTAAAAAGTTTTTAAAAACCATGTTATTTATCATTCATTCTGTCTCATGGTGTAAATGTGTTCTTTTTGCAGAACTCAGGAATAGAGAAAGCATTCCTTTTTGATGTGGTATCTAAAATTTACATAGCAACAGATAGCTCCCCTGTGGATATGCAAAGTTATGAATTATGCTGTGATATGATTGATGTAGTCATAGATATATCTTGTATATATGGGTAAGCTTTATAATCATAGTAATGATGTTCTATTACTACCATCACAGTAGCTCTTCAAAAATATGTCAGATTCACAGAAGCTAATACAAATACTTGATGTTATTGAGAATCTATATGATTATGATAACTGTGTGTTATTGTACTGTTAAAGTAAAGTTATTTAATAATACATAGTTAAATTACTTTTTTACTAGTTTTGGCAAGTAAGAATGTCAACAGATTTCATGTATTTCAAAATTTTTTGTAATTCCAACTCTAATTCAATAAATATTACTTAGTAATTAACAATTTTCTTCAGTATGGTGGATGAAACTGAAGTGAATACGTTCAACAGCCAAAGTTCGAGTTTAATAAAGTTAAATAATGGGACTGTTTTGTATCTGCGTGAAGTAAACAAATTTCTTGCGCTTGTTTGCATTTTGCGAGAAGAGAATTTCCAGAAACAAGGTATGACACATTTCACTTTAGGCTAGTTGATCAATTGCTATACTGTAACCTATCAACCTACAGTTTATTAAACCTAAACGCCAACCCTCTCCAGTTTGTATGTGAGGTGATACTTTAACAGGGTGTAGAGTTTGCTTAGGTTTGCCTGGTAATTCTTATTTACTGACTCCCTTGTATAAAAATCAAAACAATTCGTGAGACGTAATTTAACTTTTTCACTTACGGTTTTCGTCTTTTAAAATATGTACTTTAAACATGTGACGTCACTAAGCTAATGACATTAGGTGACCGAAGGAACCCTTGTCACATAATATTACACTTGATTGACCCAAGCACCTTAACCTATTACGTAATTTATGGATAGCCCCTTACTAGTGAGATTTATAAATTTTTACCAATTGTATTCTTTACTTTTATCAACTTTAATGATGTAACCGAAACATAGTGATACAAATCGATAGATTCTATAGAGGTACATTTGACGGATCTATTGGTCTAATGATTAGTAACCCTAACTACAAAGCCGGAGGATGTGGGTTAAATTCCCACTCAAAACAAATAATTGTATGATAAGCACGATCATTTATCTGTCTCTCATCTCTTTCTAGGTGTCATTTATCTATAATACATATGTATAAGTTTGTTTATCAGCATCCTGATTACTATAGTACAGGCTCTGCCTATTTTTGGATCAGACTGTGTGTGAGATGTATATGAAGTTATTATTATTATAACTAATTTCCTTTAATAGTATCCCATATATTTATATAAAATATCTACACTATATATATTCTTAGTTTCTGTTTTTTTTTTTTCAGGTGTAATAGATTATAACTTTCTGTGCTTCCGTGACGCTATAACTCAAGTATTTGAGCTGCGAAATAAATGTCAAAACGCGATTGCAGCAAGAGTAACATCAGGAACTCCAGAGCCTGTATCAAATGGTGCAGCAGAATCTACTGAGAGCACCTCAGACCGTTCACAAACGAATTTACCATAGCATATCAGCATAATGTTATTTTTGTAAACTTCATAAAATAATATGTATTTATTTTTAAATGTAACACTTAAACAACAGAGCATAAAACGTTGTTATACATATGTTACTTATATTTTACCTGAGAAAGATTCTCTGGATGCGAGATTCAAAATACACATTCAGTGCAGAAGACCCAAATCAGTTACAGTTGGGTTGATGCCGTTGAGCGCCATCTAATCACAACAAATTACGATAGCTGCGATAGCTTAAAATTGAATTTGTAAATCAATTAGAAACAAAGTATTAATTAAATACATATTACAGTCTTGGTAAGTGATTATTTTAATCGAAAGTGTTTGGCCAAAGTTGGCATTTTCTGTTAGGGACTTCTGACGACTAGTTGAGTCGAGCCAAACTGGAGTTGCCTACGGGTGTCCTTCGGGTGAAACCTATGGGTGCAAAAACCCGGAACTCTAAATAACTAATAAACTAACAACAAAAGCAGCCATTAATGTTTGCTGCTGTGACTATGGCATGGCGTATAACGATGTTAGTCTACATTGAGAACCAAGGATGGCTGGATGGATGGAGATGGAGAACTATAAAGTCCCCTCAGAGTGTGTAATTGATATTCTTTCTTGAAAATTTTTAGTAAAATATCAACGGTCCATGTTTTGAAACTTTCATAACAAATATAAACGCTAAACCTAACCGTCGAATCCCTTCTTGTTAACGTATGTAACCATATTTAGTTCAAATATCTAAAGTGATGTGTGACTATGCCACATCTCATCAAGGTCTTTTGTTAAAAACCTCGCGGTGAAATATCGCTGTGCCGACGGGCCTTTACTCTTCGTTCTTTCCCTCTCTATTATAGTGGTCAAAGTGGACATAACAGTAGTTAGAGTCGCGTAGAGCTGTACATTTGTGCGTGTGCGATCGTTGCCAAGACCTTTTGAATTAAATGCGATAAGACCATATCGAACCATCTTCTCGCAAATATAGATTATTAATTATTATTTTTTCACTTTTTTAAGTAAGAACAAGCGTGTATCTAATGAGAATAATAATAACATTTTGAACATCTGACACAACGCCATCTAGTTTCAAACTAAGCAGAGCTTGTACTATGAAAGCTAGATTGACTGATAGAATACTTATATACCTTTTTCTTGTAAATACATAAATACATTTAGACATCTATTAAAATTTTTCTTTCAAGAGTTTTATTTTTTTTAAATACAGAGGGCAACCGAGCAGATCATCTGTTTGTAGTAGGTTTTAAAGATCATATCGGTCCGGAGTATAGATGAAAAACAACCGATTTAAAACGTTTTAAATAAAATGTTGCCGTTTTAAATCCCAAATACATCCTTTGAACGGTTGAAAACTCGCCTACTTAAATAAAAAAATGTGTTTACTTCATTGTGGGCAATATTTGGTCACCTGATGTTTCGTCATGTTTCGTTTTAATTAGTTCATAGAAAATCAATAGAAAGTACCTAGGTAGGTACTCTCGTGCAAGGTAATGTAGGTACATTACCTTGCACGAAAACTTAAGTATGTAGGTAGACCTACCTATACTTATTATATTACACACACTAGATTAGAAGACATTAATGCCGTCTATTTTACTTGCGCATGAAAGAGACAACGTTATGTCTTCAAGGCCGTCGCGAGTGACGTCGGTGTCAACGAGAGTGCGGAGTGTAAGTTTGGTTTTAAACCGAATCAAATTGATTATTTATTTGAAAACAATGATTTTTTTTATTTACCGACAAGAGTTTTTAAGTTATCAATAGACTTTATAACTTAGGTAGGTGATGCATGCGCTTGGTCGGACGCACCAACTAGAACCAAACCCGCTAAGTAAATCAATGTCAGAATATCACACACAAAAAAAATCCGTACACAGTTTATAGGTACTCCGTCATATCCCTACCTCGGTAAAATCAAGAAAATGAAGTTATAATTAAGAAAAACAGTCATCAACACCCACCGTTTTAAATTGAAAAAAATGGTTTAATTCGGTTTTAAACGTTTTTTTTTTTAATGGATTGGTTTAATTGGTCTTAAACCGACCCTTACATCCATAGTCCGGAGATAACGCAGGCGAAAACTTATTCCACAGATTGGTTGTACGAGGCGTAAAGCCGATCGGAGATCTAGGTTTATCATACTGATCTTTTGCGTTGCCGAAACTTATTCATAAGCAATTACTGCGTTTTTTAGTTCAAGTCAAAGATTAGTGGGTGCATGTTAAAAAGTATTTTTCTTTACGAAAAAATAGTGAGGTTGTGTAAAAAGTCCTGAATAAACTTCATTAGTCGATTTACATAGTACTATTTCTTGGTAGAGTACAACAATTCAAAACCACCGTGGAAAGGCCACGTTTGACAAAATCGAAATTACCTACACATATTAGTGAGTAACAACAACAAACTTACTTTCGCGTTTTTAATATACTAGCGATTCGCCTCGGTTTCGCACGGGTGCAATGTAGATACTACTAATGTGGTGTCGCTGTGTAGTAATTAATTATACTGTTCTTATGATAAGAATAGTCTTATAGTATAGACTGCAGGACATCTTTATGCGGCGGCCGCTTTGCCCTCTCATTTTAAACCTCATTGAATAATAATGTTCTGATAAAATAGCTTCGTAAATAACCTATTATTATCTTTTTAAATTTAAAAGATGACATAGGTTACTGTGGGTTATTCTTAAGAGATAAACATATACCAACGCTAACTTTTTTTGTAGATCTTTTTAAGTTATACAATTCTGTAGTACAATATTTTTGTCTATCTCCTACGGATTAGCCATCGTTTGCAACGTACGGCACGATGCGGCTTAGCCACCGTACTTTAAATGTCTGATTTCTACTACGATATTCACGATATAATATAATCCACTATATGCTGTAAATCTACATTAGATGCACAACGTATCTAACGTATTTATTTGCATAAGAAATAATACTGTATTGTTTAAAATAGCTGTGTAAATGACCCAAATTCCTTAGTACATTATTTTGATTTGTATTATAAGGTTTAGCCAGCGTTTGCAATGTAAGCACACAAAAACATATTTATTTACGACTTCGCATTTCGACTCGGATATCCTCTACTATAATATGCATGTATTACACATATAAACCCGCCTCTTAAAACACTCTCTACTACTAAAAGTACTACTACGAGTCAAAAATTTACAACTGCTGCTGAATATTTACATAATATTTAGCTATAATGGAAAATAAGGAAAATGGCTGGCAGTCGATGGGTGTGGATTGCCCAAGACCGGGATGCTTGGCGCTCCTTTGGAGGCCTTCGTTCTGCAGTGGACGGTTGTAGGCTGATGAAGAATGACGATTTAGCTATATCATAGTTAAATCACTTGACACCAATATTTTCTGGCAAAATCGCGTTAAGGTTGTCTTATATATGAATATTTAATAACCAGTACATGCTCTACCTCTATAAACAAATAATATTTTAAAAAAACCCAGGCAAGGTGCCTACTCAATAAAAAGTTTATGTATATTTCAGTTAAAGAAAAATGTGTATGCATGTACATATTTTAACCTAGGAATATAGTGTACGTAATCGAGTGGTGAGAGTATAACAGATAATTAGTTTATCATGAATAGGTAAAAATTTCGCCAATAGCAAAATTTGTTTGAATTGTATAGTAATTTTAAAGTCATTCGAGATACCTGGAACTAAATACATGAATACCTATCTTTCTTTGCGTATTAAATGTGAGTGAAAAAAGAAAACTAAAGTAAATATTTGAATTTATCTCACGGGATTGTCGATATGTGGAATGTAGATTCAGTGAAAATTGTTTTGATAGTCGTATCTGCTTATGGATTAATAGCCAAGAGCCTCGACCAACAACACCTTAAGATTCTTACGCTAGATGGCTGTATTAAGGGTCTTATGCAGAAGGCAGTTCTCCTTGATACGATTCGTATAGTACGGAGATTCCTGTCTGGGGTCCTAACCACCGTTGTGTCTATACCCGGCCTCTATACCCGAAGTCGGTGGTCTACTATTTTGTATATTTTTGACTGTATTTTTTTCTTTCCTATATGTAAATTTTAAAATGTAATCAATTCGTATACAAATGAAATAAAGAGAATAATAACCTTATTGAATTTTAATTCCTTTGTGACAATTATACAATTCAATTCAACCAACCAACAACAATCCTTACGACCGTATTAGGTGTACAAAGTAGATATTTCTGATTGCCTGCCTTCCATACTAGGTATTTCTGAAACTTGTAAGGATAGAATTAACGTTCGTCTACAGGTTCAAGCTGGTTCTTTCGGAACCATTATGAAAAATCGAAATTATAATATTTAAAATAAGACTTGCCCCATTAGTCAAATCAATGAGTGCGTTCTTCCCAGGTTTCCTGTTACACAGATCTGTTCCTTATCATAAAATCAGTCTCACAGGGTCCAGAAAAAATGTCAACTCATCATTATCTGCTTGATTATTTTTTGTTCAATGTTACCCATACTGTACTAATTTTATTTACTCTCCTCCGTTACAAGCACTAAGCATTTTTACAACACAAAAGAAGCCCTTCTCTATAACCTATAGGTCAAGTACTCAAGTCAAGTGTCATGTCATGTCATTACGGGAAAATTAAATTCGTTTCATCCGTACAACTACAAATCATATCTTTTGTTTGTGCTCAGCCTGTACATTCATTGAATTATTGCAGCGTAATTTATCTTTAAGTAATTTATGTGTTATACTAACCAGAGATATACGTGAACTGTACCGCAACTTTAGATAATTCAATACATTGGTAAGTGTTGCTATTTAATAATTCACAACATGATAACATATCTTAATCTTTTGTTCTCTAACAATAAATAAGGATTTGACGCTTCACTTAACAATAATATGACTAGTAAGAATAAGTTTAAGTAAATATGAGTGTTTTCCTTTTATTGCCCTTGACTGCAGGTTGATGTATTCTAACAAAGAAGAATGTTTGGT